AACTAAAGGCATGAAGGAATCAATACCCCCAAATTGGAAATGTGGGGGTTTGCACTGTGCACACACTCAGAAACTAAATATAACAAGGGTTCATTCTTTTACAAACCTTTTTTCAAGCTTCTTTATCCTTTCTCTTTTAGAAACCAACTTTACTGACTACATGTGTGCACCCTGGGGCCTGGGGAGAGCATGCGGGGGCCGTGGCTCCATCCTCCTATGTTCCGAGGACAAGGAGTGGGGGGAGGTGGTCAGGGGGGAATCCTCTACGCCTGGGAGAGCAGGGGGGCTCATCTGCAGCCTGCTACTCTGCAGATCTGACTCCACAAGCCAACCCCCCGTGTTCAAACCCACTGCCTCAAATGAGGTCTGCAGAGCCCACTTAGCTCAAGTTACTGCCTCTTCCTGAAAGCAAGGGGCGGCCTTTGCCAAGATGCCAAAGGTGATACTGGCAGTGTTGGGGAGGACACCCGTGCCAACAGAGGACCCGTGGGGGCTCAGCAGCGCCTGGCCGGCTGTCAGCTAAAACACTTCCATCGGCCTCTCTGGCAGGCGCCCGGCGCTCTTGTGTTTTCCTCATGTCTCCACAGTTCTGTCTGTCCTGGTCCTCAGCACCCACGCCCGTGCCCCAAACACATACACGAGTGAGCCATCCACAAGGAAAGACCAGAAGGGAGACCGAGGTCGGGGGCCACTGCGTCCTGCATGTCAGCGCCGAGTCCAAGACGGTGTGACCCTGGCCAGGGACGTGGGTGCCACGAGCCCTCCTTCTGACACATCCCAGAATAAGTGTCCCCCAGCTGGGGAAGCAAATGAGAAGCTTTCCAAGGTGAAAGTTGCTGGCAACTTTTAAGCAACATTTTCTTTTGGTTTCCATTTATTGCTGTGTCAGGGGTATTAAAAGTCTCTGGCTAAGAAGAAAAAAATAGATATCAATATAGCAAAATCATGAGAGAGGCTAAAGTTGAAAAGGGACTGTGTGCGTAAAATAATGAAACCACGGAAGAATGTTTAAATGTTTATTTTCATGTTAAAAATGATGAGTTACCCTGTGGTTAGAATATACCTTTATGCTGGGAAATGTAGTCACTTTATTTCTGAAATATTTCCAGGAAAAAAAAAAAGAGGAAAAAAATCCAAAAGCAATGAAGAGTAAGATCAAAATATTCTGGCAGGTTCCATCAGTGATGCCGCCAATGAGCCGCGCCCTCTCCAGGCCGCGTTCCTACCCAGTGTTTCCCCCACCATGGGTTTAGATATTTTTGAGCGGGAGGTCTGTACATTTAAAAGCTACAGCGTTGCATGCTTTTACTGTAAAAGGTATTTATTCCAGCACACCTCTGGGTGCCTCAGGGTATTGCGTATGTTACATACAAAAATATCTGCGAGCCGCATCCTCCCGTAACCTCCGCCACCCGTCCCGTCCCTTCACATCACAGGTGATACGCGGTACATCACACGTGTAGAATTTCAATGGGGGAGATGGTTGCTGAGTCTATAAACTATCCATCGTGTCACTTACAGAGACGAGGATGGAGAATTGAAGCCATTTTTGAGATGATTCAAGTAGAAAAGACAACGGTCCCGGAGACATGTAGGAAGCAGGTGCAACCGCTCTGCGTGGTTGTTGAAGGCGGGCTAGCTAGTTCTTGGACACAGAGCCTTGACCGGTCCCAACACCCCAACACCGAGAAGATGCCTTTCCAAAAGGGTGAAGAAAGGATGCAAAGGATCAAAATGCACAAAGGCAGACTTCCTAAACTTAAAGATGAACAAAGTACAAAGTGCTCGTCTACGAATGTGGCAAATGGGACAAAAAGTAATCCATTGTTTTCCCTGCATTAACGTGTGCGCACAGACACCCTCTGCCTGGAGTTGGAGTCTGGGAGCTGACCCTGGCCAGGGTGCAATACAAAATAGCTGGGAGGTCAGTCAGTCCTCTGTCCGTGCGCACGGGGCGGCCCGAGGCTTGCTGGGGGGCGTTCTTCGGGGACACTGGCAGGGTCTTCTGGCTTTCCCGAAGATGCGACTCTGTGCACTTAAGCTCTACCTCCGGCGTGTGGCGGCTGCTCCTGGATCCTGGGGCGCGGCCTGGGAGGGAGCACATCTGGCCGTGGGGGACACCGCTCCCTCCCTCCCCGTTCTAGGTGGCCTGGTCCCCGTGGGTGCCTGAGCCACCCTCTGTGGGACCCACACAGCTCCCAGCCTGCGGCCCCTCAGGAGGCTGACTGGTGCTGGCCTCGGGGGGAGGGGTGTGCCCAAGTATTCCCTTCTCAGGGAGAGGACGGGGCTTTATCACTTGTTCTGTTCAGGTGACGAATCACACCACTCCAGCTGTAAAAACCTGGAAACTCCAGGCGAGTGCAGGCCCCCAGGGAACGGATTTCCAGGTTTCCTAAGTTACATCTTTTCCCTGTTCTAGTTTAGATATTGAGGGGTTCCTATTTGTTTTAAATGATCTAGTTGAAAAACAAGTGGATATAATCCATGGCTGCCGGTGAGTGGGAAACATTTAGAACAGAAAGAGCCTCACTGAAATCCTGGGGAGCTGGGAACAGTGCCCATGCCAAGGTGGGGAGCGAGCCACAGTGCTGGTTCCGCTAAATACTGTATTCCCTGGCTCCTCACTATTCACACACTCATGTGCATACGTGTGTGTGTCCGTGTGAGTGTGCCCTGCGCGGTAAAAGGGACCCCCCGCCCCGTGACCTTCCACGTGACTCATAGTGAACTGAGTTTGAACAGAAGCCAGCAAAGGTGACCGTACAGAGCCCAGATCACACTGGGGGGGCTGTGGCTCACCCCCTGGGAGGCATCTTCAGGACAGTGGTCAGTTTCCCACTCCTGAGAACCCACTGGCATGTTCTCCCTTCTGACGCTGCCTAGTCTGCACTCTGTCCCCAGCAAGCGCTCAGACCCCAGGAAAGGCTCCGATTTGCAAGCTTCTCAGTAATGCTCCCCACGGCAATGGTAACGTCCCTTGTCCCTTCCCAGATCACCCCCAGACCCAGGGCCTCGCTGTAGTAGCAGGGGAAGCCTGCTGTGTGTGTGTGTGTGTGTGTGTGTGTGTGTGTGTGTGAGAGAGAGAGAGAGAGAGAGAGAGAGAGAGAGAGACTCACCCCCTATACCAGCTGAGCTTCCTCAGTTTCAGACTCGAAGTTCCTGTTATGTCGGAATGCTGAAGATCCAAAGGCAGAGAACATGGAGAATATGGCACAGGAGCGAGACTCTACTGGAGAGCTACGTGGCATTAGCGTGTGAACTTCCCCGGGGCCTCCCCTGCGGGCCAAGCTCCCTCTGCACCGAACCCTCGGTGAGCGGCCTCCGCCTCCTCTGGTTGCCCAGGGTGCTCCTGCTGTCAGGTGTCAGCCTTCTCTGTGCAAATTCCCTCCGAAGCCAAAGCCCGGGTCTCCTGGCCTCCTTCGCCCATCAGATTGGAAGATTTTTGAAACTTCACTGGCTTCAGCCCTTAACCCTCATCTGAAACACAAGATCGGCTGGACACTGGCCTCTAGAAATCAGGCCCACAAGCCTGTGGATTTATGCACTGTTTACAAACCCGCCACAGTCCCGTGGGCAAGAGACACAGGTAGGGCTCTGTCCCTTGGAGGCAGCGGGTGGTCATGCTCCCGCGCACAGAAAGCTCACAAGCTCTTGTTCCAACAGCTTGCTCCTCCACCATGTGGAGTCAGCCAACCACTTCCTTGCCCCTCCTGCAGGTCTTCGTGACTCTGGTCTTTACATTTCTACTTCTCAGCAATGCAGATGGCACCAGAAATCCTGGAATAGGTGGTCTAGTCTCGTGCCCGTTTTCCGAGCTAACCCACAGTAATCAAACGTTCTGCTCTGCTAATCTGAAATTCTTGCTCTGCTTGAAACCATTCCTTCTATTCTTTGAAAGACATTTTTTATTTAAAAATTATGCAGGGGGTCACGCTTATGTTTTTTTCCTGTTGTCACTCTGACTTCCCAACAGCTATGGTTTTTCTACCTACTTGCTTCTGAAACTCTCCAACAGTCATTTATTTTATGAAACTTGGAAGCAAACCCATTCTTTTCTCCATCAGTGCATACCCTGCATAGGTTTGAGCTCTGCCAGAGTCATGACTGATGATTTTTTTGGGGGGGGGTATCATTATATGGATGGATTTTTACATATTGCTAAGTTGAAACATCATTCTACTTACTTTCAATTTTTTTTTTTTTTTTTTGCTCTGGTAAAATGGAAGTATAACCTGAACATATCTCCTACACAATTTCCTTTCTGTGTAATACTAATTTAAAATTCTGATTTCAGCTTGGATCACAAATTGTGTTGACCAGAAAGCACCAGTATAAATATGACTCTCTCAGGGCCTTTCTGCCCTCAGAAACACACTCCAGGAGTCCCCCACGAATGTTCCACAAGCAGAAGATAAAAACAAATGTGGTTGACAAGTGGTCACCAAAGTTTGTAAGCGCCGTATAGAAAACTGTAAAGATGGCCCTCCCTCGCAGTATATTAATATTTTATGTAAAATCCCATGTCCCAGTCTGATACAAGGAAGTTCCACAACAAAGAGAAGGGCGGACAGTGCGAGGCTGAGCTTCTCAGACGTTGCCCCTTAGGTAAGGAATGTGGGCAACGGAGAGCACCTGACGTCCGGCACAGACGCGGCGAACGTCAGCGACTAAAACTCATGTGAAAATCACACATCTCAGAGAGAAGAGACCGCAATTGCTTTTCTTCGTGTTTCAAAAAGAATTCCAGAGGCCAAAGGAACCAGGTGCAGGTGCAAATGTGTATAAAAATAATGAGCAGCCTCGTAACAAATAAGGGCGGCTACATTCAGCATCTTTCACGTACATCCAATCTCAGGCCAAGGGCAAGGAATGTCCACTGTGCTTTAAAAGTTCTAGGAATAGAAAAATCAACACCCGAGCCTTTTCTAATTCCATGTGGCCGTTTGTTGCGAGATGACTAACAATGTCTGTGGGGTCAGGTTTAGTAATGTTTGAACTGAGCTAGTACCAGGCAGCAGATACAACTGTCGTCTTAGAATTTCTCCAGGATCTACAGGTGGCTGCTTTCGAGACATTTCCCGGCTTATAACCCAGCTGCTATAGCTCTCCAGGCCTCTGACACCTGCTCAGAAAGGGATCCCCACCCCAGACCGCCCCAAATGAAGCTTTGTTAAATCATCCCCTATTGCTGAACAAACTTACTGCTCCACCGTTCAAAAAACAGAAGGCATAAAGGTGAATACAAACGTAAGAAAGGAGTTCACATGTGGTCTTGCAGGCTTTCCATATAGTCTCTAAGGTCCCGGGGACCCCCCAGCCCCGTGTCCTGACAGACCCACTTGATGTTGTCCTCACTGTCAAACAGGATGGAGTTGGTGTATGGGCCGCCGTCCTCCGGGAGGATGGTGGTGTAGGAAGTAAACTTGACTCGCTTCCGCTTTGGGCCCGATGGATTTATAGGCTCACTTTTAAGGTCTTTCTCATAGACATAGTCAGAGGGTCTGAGCAGTTGACTATGGAAAGTCTTCTGGGAACCGCCGTTGAGAAGGAAGTTCCTCTCCTCGAACTGCAGGCCCCTGTCTATCATGGTCGTGCACTCCTCCGACGGGAGGGTGATGTCCACGGGGTTCTCCAGAAGTTCTACTTCATTCCCAAGCCAGACCCAGTCATGGGAATGGGGGATGTTGCCTTGCTCGCTCACGGCGAATCTTTTGTGTCTATATTTCCAAGCAAAGGCCACACAGTTGATCAAGAAGACCAAAATGGCCAGGCAGAAGACACAGAGCAGAGCGTACATGCCGATCTCCAAGTCACTTAACCCCCTGGAGGTCACTGTCAGGTCACTGGGATTATTGGGTTCCGGTAACTTCCCTTGAGTGGGGAAGCTTGTGAAGGTGTCTGGACCGCCACTCTTGAGTGACTTCTTATCCTTTCCTTCCTGGGGAGACTGTGGGGTTGTGCTTTTGTTGCTACGTTCCTCTTGGCCAACAGAGGCGCCATGTTGGAACCACTCCTGACCTGCTCTCTCCCGGTTTCCTTCACGCTCTATGGAATTACTGAGATGGTCTTTGTATTCCCGACTGATGCCCTCAATATCGTTGGTGCCTCCTTGGTGCTCATCGATATTTGGTTCAAATCTGACCTTGACATTCCCTTTACCCACGGCAAGAATACTCTTCCTCTTGGTCTTCTGACAGGGCTCACTAATCATCATTTCTAATTTAATCAAGGGCCCTTGCCCTTCACCCTGTGCGACCACAACTGGCCATCTGGACTGAAGGTTTGCTTGGACAGACACCACCATTTCATCCAATGATGACACAGTAACAGAAAAATCCTTGGGATCATAAATGTCTAAGGGTGTCACCGAACCATCACTGAACAAAATCCAAGAACTGACTATTGCTTCCTAAGAAAAATGAAACCAGAGCATTATGTTATAATGAGGTCCGTTCAACTGCAAACATAAATATGATTTCCTATAGAATATTATTTAAATATACAGACTGAGAAAAATAAACTTCTATGTTTTATAATCTTGAATAGTTCCTGGCATGCCTTGAACTGGCATCCATAACATACTACTGCCCCACTGATGTGAGGAGCAAATGATATACTTTAATGAATGCATTAAAGTACATATTAATTTATTGCATTGACTTTGACCTTTCTAAAAAACATTTTGAAAGATCAGGCAATTTATCTGAATCAAGATCAGGTGCCACTAATCAGGCTACTGCTCCCAATAATATCACTTTAAACATCCTTTATTAGAAAGCCGGGCTGATGAAACAGAACATGCACCGGCTGAGGGGCCTGGGAGACAGTGCCTTATGAGACGAGCTCACTGAAAAGGCACAGTGCCACAGTGCCTCAGCGAACCTCCTCATGAGTTTAAAGATGGAGGGGAACTTTAGAGTTGGCAAGGACTGTAAACAGTAGCGATTTGGTGCCCTTTAGCCATGCTTGTTCAAGCAGCTGAAATGGAATGTCCAAGTATCAAACACCACCTGCTTTGGCAGAATGACAACATGGGATCCTCTGGTCATGATCTAGCGGGGTGTGCCGAGCGCAGGCAAGGCTGCGGTAAAGCAAATGGTATACGGACACATGGTCGGTGTATAAAAGCATAAACGAGTGACATGTATCTAAGTCACTGGTATTTTTCTCAAAAAGAGACAGGGTGGCCCAGATAAGAAGCAGAAAGAAGTTTCAAAGACCACCCTGTCCCAGCTAATAGTGCCCTACTGATCTCCGCAGACGTAAGAGGGAAGGAAGTGGTCTCAACTGACCGGAGACAAAAGGACCCTGGAATCCCACCTGCTGCGGGGCCTGGAGGACGTCCTGGGCAGACACCGTGGAGACAATAGCCCTCTTGTCCGCTCTGTGAGGCTGCAGGGCAAGAGACAAGCCGGCCACCAGCTGCACGCCCAGGTCGGCGATGGTGACGCGGTCATCCAGCACGATCACTGTCTTCTCAGCCAGGATGGAGTCGGACAGAGGTGAGAGCACCTTCAAAGGAAGCGGGCAAGCTCCAGTCTCTGCTGCACACAAGTGTGGGAACCTCCTAACTGACATTTCCACCAATGTGTTCCCTCAGGTCTCTGCTGGAGGCATGCACCCGTGGGAACCGTGTGGGTACGTGGTGTGTTGTGGTTCAATGGCACACTCGCCAACCTGAGGAGTATGACACATACCACGCTGGTCCATTTCCTTTCCTCTGATTCAGGCCATGACAATACAAGTGTATTTCCCAAGAAGAGCGCAATTTAACTGCGAGCCAATAGCTAAAGATTGCCCACCTTGGCACCAGGCATTCAGAGAGCGACCGTCTCCCAGCCACTAATATTTAGATGTGAAAATGGCAGGATTGTGGGAAAGCGCCTACAGGGCTCTGCCACCTTCTCGTGCTGCTACCCTTCCAGAGGGCAGTGAGCTGTTCACTACGGGACAACAGCGATCACGGCGTGGGCTGCTGTGTCACGCTGGGGAGACCACGTAACCAAAGTGGGAGAGGGATTTTTAATGTCCTAAGAAGCCAATGCCTCTAATTTACCTTCTAGTTTGCAACCAGGGGAGACTAACAAATGGAGAGGAATATCCCATTGGCAGAATTTCCAGAACTGTCCCCCCTCCTCCCAAGGATGTCCTCGACTAATCTCTCAAGCCTGGCTGGGAATGTGATGAGAAATCACTCTTGTGACGATGTTACATTTACACGGCAGGTTCGCTTATCCTGGATTATGCAGGTGGGTCCCGTGGCATCACGTGAAGCCCGTAAAAGCAGGGAGCCTTCCCTGGCTGGTGGCAGAAGGGAAAGCCACGGAGACTCAAAGTGGGAGAGGGACTTGACCCAGCCGTCACATGAGAAGTGGCACAGGTAACCTCCCGGGGGAAAGTGACTGACCCTAGTTGACAATCCACGAGGAAACAGACCGCTCGGTCCCACACCCATGAGGAGGTGCGTTCTGCCAACAGCCTGAATGAGCTGGGAAGGGACTCTTTCCCCCAAGCCGCCGCATGAGCCCCACCCGGCCACCACCTTCATCTCGGCCTTGCGATACCCCGAGTGCAGAACACAGCCCAGCTCACGTCGACTCCTGACCTACAGAAGTGAATCAATACACTGGTGCTGGTTTTCGCTGCTCAGTCTGTGATGATGTGCTACACAGCAATAGAGAAGTCATACAAAATAGAGCATGTTTAATCCAGCTCCATCAAAATTAGCTTTGGCACCACCTAAAATATGACTTAATTAACTATCAGTGGCAACGCTTTGAATTTTTTACTAAAAAACATGCTACAGCATTTCTGCATAATTATTCCATTAAAACTGACCAGAAAAATAGTTTTACCATTATTCTAATAAAATACAGAGCATGTAATTAGTGGATTTAAAAGTTATTTTTAGTACAAATACCGGCTATTTAAAAATTTTCTGTCCATTGTTCAAAGTGTAATATACAGCTAAGTGGTTAACCCTCAAGGTGGGAAAAATAAAACTAGTTCTCTCAGGTTTGACCACCTTCTGTTAGTGATATACGAGGAGTAAATTATATGGGGGGAAAGGTTGCTTCCACTGTGCATTTAATTTAGCTTTGACTGGTGAAAGAAATTAGGTATTTTTTTCTCAGCCCTCCCAAAAATGCAAAAATGAATTTACCTTAGATTCCTAAAATCGATGAATTCTCTTTTTGCTGCTCAGGATGCTCTTATTCACCTGCACATGCGCACACGCACACACACGCGCGCATGCACGCACACCCACACACTCGTCGGTACAGACGGGGGGGGCACAAAGCGCATGCCCCGTACCTGCACCGTGGTTATCCCCGGCTCCCGGCCCACCAGGGTCCTGCCGCCCAGGAGCTGCGCGATCCTCGGCTCCTCCACCTTCATGAACTCGGCCACGAGGTCAGTGATGTCGAACTGCCAGTCGGGGCCCAGCATGTAGCTCAGCTGACCCGAGTCGGGGGCCTCGGCAGCGAACTGGGTGAGGACGCGCACGGCGGCGTGCTGGTACTGCAGGGAGCACCCCCGGCCCTTCTTCTCCTCGTCCTCCTCGTCCTCGCTCTCTCGCGTGGGCCTGGGGCACAAACAAGCCAGGATGAACGTCGTGGTTGTTAAGGGGCTTTGCGCACCCGTCTTCCAGAGCCAGTGTGGCTCTACGGAACACATGACACGGGGTTTCTCCCCACCGGACCCGCCCACCAGCGGTTCCCTCACGACCGCTCCTCGTCGGTGGCCCCGGTGCGCCCGGTGTGCCGCCACCTGCTCGGAGCGTGGAAGGCAAGCACCACCCCACCTTCAGGGCCCAGCGCCGCCGGACACTCTGCCCCACACAGGCAGAGGCTGGGGCCCCGTCCTGCGTTCTGGAACTCTGCAGTTTGAAACTGTCCCCCCCCCACCCCCCGCCCCGGCGGGAGACGTGAGGTCCCAGGTGGGAAGAGCTGCTGGGACCGGTTTCCATTCCTCCAGCCCCGCACAGGCCTGGGCATATCTCCTTCGGGAGTGACCCCCGGAATGCTGCCCCTCTGCTCCCTCCAGGTGTGCGTGAGGGTCACCATGGTCAAGGTGCGAGCAGGCAAGGACAGCCCCTGGGGGATGGGAAGACCATCGTGATCCACTGGCGTGGGACAGCTTGGCACCGGCTCTGGGCTGGCCAAGTCCCTCTGCTCCGGACAGGGTGGCTTTCTCTGAGCTCTCGGAGGCCGGGGGGCCCTTTCCCAACCTCCCATCGCCCAGTTCCGCAGCGCTCAGCACAGAGCAGCCGTGGAGTCCTGCAGGAGTCGGGGGCACCCTGGCTCACGGGTCCTCGCCTGCCTCGCCCCTCCTCCTGTGGGCCCAGCCCCTCCTCTCAACCGGCCTGTGCACATGCCCCCAGAGAAACCCTCATAGGCTCTATTCCAGAACCTTCCCCTCAAGATGAACCTGTCCTGAGTGCTCTGCGAGAGGACCTTGTCTGGCGACCAGTCGACAACCATCAGGTGTCAGGAGCGACAGTGCAGAGATTCACACGCCCTGAGTCACGCCTACTGTGTGCTGGGTCTGGCTCGACGCACTCAGGTGACCACGAGAGCTGACACACATGGACCGCATCCCACATGCCAACCACATACATTTGACTCCTTTAATCTCCTGAGCCTCCCCAAGGAGGGAGGGTGTTTTATTATCCTGATCTTACAGTGGGAAGCCAAGGCACAGACAGGAGAGGCCACTCGGCCCCGGCCACCCAGCTAGCAGTCTAGAGGCAGCACCCACACCCAGGCCACTGTGCCCCTCTGTGCCCTCTTCCTCTTTATAGCGAACTCTGTTCATCTTCAAAACAGCCACAAAACACGTCCCTATTTCTCCACGAAGACGCCGGGGCTGAGAGTGGTTAGTACGTGGTCTAGACAGCTGCGGAGCAGTGAATTTACAGACTTCCATTTGACTTCTGAAACCCACTTTCTTTAAAATAGATCCTTCTGCCTCCCTGAAAGGTCCCACTGGGAAAATAATAGGAAGCATTTTGGGTTTCCCAAAGTGAGGGGTGAGTATCTCTGCTGGTAGGCAGGATGGTTTTGTGTGGTGAAGGGACATAGGATCAAAACCTTGGAATGACATTCGGAAAAGTTATTCCCGTTTACTTTTCAGTCCTTCTGATTACACCACAGGGAATGAAGGTCTCTGGTGCTGAGGGGTCTCTAACGCTTATCTGACACCTGCTAGTCGACTTACTAGAGACCAGCTCACACGAACAAACAGCAGTATCTACGCAGAATGTAATACTGACACTTTCTTTTCTTTGCGTTAATTTTTACCAGTTGGCCAGTTTTGAAAGCAAGGTGAAATGTCCCTTAATTACATGAATAACACTGAAAAAAGAGCAAAATTATGTATATATTATGGAAGGGGCAGTATCATAAACGTGGTGAATGAATAAATGAAGTTATAGAGATACCATATGCATGAAACAGTTCTGTTCTTTTAGGACAGCATTCTATTATTTAAAAAAAAAAACTTTAAATTTCGAATCAGAATTTCACAGTAAGTTAGAAAACAACGTACAGGGAGGCCCTGAATGCTCTGCACCACTCCTGTCGAGTTAACATCCCCCATAATCACAGTCCAATGCCAAGATCCAGAAACGGATGCTGGTACAAATCACAGAGTTTATTCCGATTTCAACAGTTTAACCAGGACACATGTGTGAGTGTGTTTCTATGCAATTCTGTCACCTGAGGACTCATGTAACCATCACAACAATCAAGGCACAGAACTCGTCCGTCCACACAGGGGTGCCCGGGGCTCCTCCTTCATACTCTACACCATCCCGAACCCTTGGCGACCACCAGTCTGTTGTCCGTTTTCCGCATCTCTGTAAAAGGGACCATACATGATGTAAGCTCTGAAAATGCTAACAAGGGTGTCGAGTCACTACGTGACCCATTCATCGCTGCTGGGAGCATGAAATGGGACAACCTCTCTGGAGAATAGTTCGGGAGCTTCTTTTAAAACTAATGCCCTATTCATACAACCCAACAATTACAGTCTTGGGCACTTTCCCCAGAAGATTCATGTGCCCATGGAAACTTGTCGCAGCAGCTCTGTCTGTGAGCGCGCCCAGCTGGACACAGCAGGAGTGGCCTCCCGCAGACGGCTGATTCATCACACTGAGAGAGGACACACCATGGATTAACACTCAACACTATGGATACGGGAACTCTCCTTACAGCCAACAACGGCGGTGGATCTCAGGGGATTTATGCTGGATAAAAACATGTCCATTTTAAAAGGTTACACATCGTATAGGATAGCTACCAGCTAGAGAAAACTCTGTTTTCAAGGGGTCAACTGACGGGTCAGGCCCACCTGGATAATCCCACATTTTAAGATTGATGGATTTAGAAGTTTAGTTACACCTGTAGAATCCCTTCCCAGAAGTACCAGATCAGGGTCCGAATGAATAACCAGGAGATAGGAATCTTATAGGGTGTCATCTTTAGAATTCTGTCTACTCCACAACGTGTCACTTCATACTCGGGACAGCTCTCTTCAGTAATATTATCATCTCCATTTACAGATGAAGACACTGAGGAACAGAGGGGTTCATCAACTGGCCCAAAGTCACACAGCTCTATATGGGGAAGCCAGGGTAAAAACTCTGGCTTCATTCTAGAGCCCACAACTTAACCACCATGCCACGCTCCACAGATGAAGGCTGACATTTACAAGCAGGGACTTGAGAACAAACAACACAGGGAGGAACAACGGGGAAATAGGGAATAAAAAAATAAGTGTACCCCATGCGAGGTACTTCGTACGCAGTGCAACATTATCCTGAATTCCAGCAACTACTCCCTGAGGTGGATACTATTCACAGGTCCAGGATGATTTCCTCGTCAAAAGGCTAGTAAGTACCCAAGTCAGATCCATCTGAACCCCAACCCCAGACCACTATGACCCACTGCGGATGCTGCTTCCCCGGGGCCTGGGCCCGTAAGGGCCATCTGCCTCCCGCAGTGATGCTGGTCCCTGGAGCCTGAGACCCCCCGGCCCTCTGTGGGACTCACCCCTCCCTCGGCTCCTCACCTTCTGTTGGAGGCCACGGGGATCCTCCAGCCTTTGATCTGGCTCAGCTCCGTGTCTGAGATCTCAATCTGCAGGGGGAGCCTGGGCGCCCAGACGGTGACCTCCAGCTGGGAGGTGAAGTGCTGGTGCGTGAAGTTCACAGTCGTGTCCACTTTGCTCTTCATTTCCTTCCCGTTCACAAAAATGGAATCGCAGTGGTTGGAGACCTTTGGGAGAGGCAGAATCTCGAGATGCATCAGCAGGAAAACACGGGACACAAGGGGCAGTGAAAGTTCATGAACTCTGATTTATTAGACACCGAGACAACCAGAAGAACATGACTCGAACAAAAGGTAATTTGTAGGCACTAATTAGTGACAAATACTGATAAACAGACTCCAGGAAAACCATTTCGTATTACAAAATACTGACAAGCAAAACCATAAACATAATTTAATGGAGTTCTATAACCTTTGTTGCCTCTTTTGTGTGTTTTTTTCTTTACCTCACCTTTTTTATGTACTCAAACCGCCACTAATCAAACCCCAGGTGGAACATACTTCACTCTTGCACATCTGAAGATGCATAAAAGGTAGCCATATGTTGCTAAAAAAAAACCCACTTTATTCAAGCCATAAAGAGGATCTTTTCCAAAAAACCAAGGAAGCTTTGCACTAGATGCAAATCTTTGTAGGGAAATACTCACAAAATGTGGATATAATTATCTGTGCTGGAATTCCAGAGGGAGCATGTTGTTATGGGGTTTTGGCTCAGCAAGCAGGGCTGCCCTTTCACACGCCTGTGTTAGCCGGCTACGCATCACACAATTCCAGCCTCCACCTAGCTTCCCTCTTCCGGATAAACCAGTAAAATGTGGGTGACGTCTCTCCTGGGCCATCAGAAAAATGTCATTTAGGTATGGGGGGAGGGGGAGGGGAGGAGGGTCACTTTGGGTGCAGAGAACGCACCAACCAACAGTTCATCACCGAATCACAACTGCGAGGGGCCCATGACCTCATAGTCCAGGGGAAGAGCCAGGGACCAGCGATGTGACAAAATGGGCTCAGGTCCCACACTGCTTTCAGGGATGCAAGCCACAAACAAGGACTTACTCTTGAACTTCTCTTCCTCGCCAGGGTTGGTACCCACAGCCCAGGCCTCCCCTGTGAGCCCCAGATGCTCACGTCTGGAGCAAGATCAGAAATGCCAACTTCCAACCTCTAAGAGTAAACCTCTTTGTTGTTTGAGATAAATTATCATCCCCCACCCACCCCCCCACCCCCCCCCCCCGGCACTCAACCCGAGAAAAAGAGTCCTTGAGCATGAATGTGCCCCCAGGAGGAGAAGGAAGAGATGCGCCCTGTTCATTTAGAGGGAAATCGAAGACCAAAAGGAAAATGAGCAGCAGGATGCTGAGCCCTCTCCTCGAGCCTCCAGGCCTCTGGCCACATCCACCTGTTCATGTCCCCATGTCTTCACGGGGCATCTTTAAGTAGAACTGACCAAGGTCACTAATGGGAATGTGGGCTGAAATCCCAGTGACACTGACCGGGTAACCCCAGGCCTCAGAGCAATGAACAGGGTGCTGGAGGGCGACCGCGTCGGGCTGGCTCCAGGCATGGGGCCCCCTGCCTATCCTGTGATGACTGAGCCGCCTGCAGTCCGTGCCCTTCAGTGACAGGGAGAAGAAACACGATGAACCGAGAAAATCAGCTGTCTTCCGGGGTGTGCCCAAGGAATATAAGTCTACATGATTGTGCCCAGGATTGTGAAGACAGCAATCAGAACAAGATCTTCAATTAGAGCAGAAATGGAATGGGGGACCACGTTCTTATTTTAAAATCCTGTGGTGCTGACATGGTGTTGGGCCCAGCTGCCCTTCCTTCAGGTACTCGGAAAGGGGTGGGAGCCCCGCTGGAGCACTCACTGGGAGACAGACCCCAAGACCCCTGACTGCCGCTGGACTCTGCAGCAACTGCAGACCTCCCTCAAGAGAACGGGGCTCCTCACCGACGGCCATGCTGCCTTCTCCCCGGCTCAGCTGGTCTGCACCGGCCCTAGAACGTTCCTGATCCCACCTCCTGCAGTATAGACCTCAACTCTCCTGCATTTGTGGAAAATCCTGGTTTCTCCTTGTTTATTGCTACCCCCCCACACACACACTCCCACTTTAAATCACCTTGAAACACATCCCACCAGCGGGAACATACCTGTTTTGGAAACCGCGAGGCCCTTTCTGTGCATAGGGAATTTCAGAGCTTGTGCAGACTGAAACCCACCTCATCTTTCAGGCGATGAGGGATGGCCGAAATGGAAAAACTTAAATTAAGAATGTAACAAAGTCACAGGCCTTAGAAATTCATTTGATTTTTTTCTCCTGGGACATGCATATCCTTGAAAGAAAGTATATGTTGCCATCCTTAACTAATTCGATTAAAACAGCTCAAATGAGGCCAGTCCTGCTGAATGCTAAGCCCTGAGGTGCACCACATTGGATACAACTTACATCAGATATATGGACTGTATGTTTGTTTTCCCCGGAAATTTATATGTTGAAACCCTAATCCCCGATATATCTGGAGATGGGGCTGTAGGGTCATGAGTGGGGAGCCCCATGGTGAGATCAGTGCCCTTAGAGGAAGAGACCCCAGGGAGCTTACTTCCTCCGCCTGCTTCACCACGTGAGAATAGGACCAGGAAACCACTGTCTGTAACCCAGTGTTTGGCTCCCCCCCAAACACCCACCCACACTCTGATCTCAGACTTCCCTACTTTCAGAACCACTGAGAATAAATGTTTGTTTGTGGACACCTTATTGTTTGCGGACTCCATGTTCTCAACTTTATCAACTTGCTAACACTGCTCCCATCACTGTCGCGGTCGCAAGGGGGAAGGAAGCAGAGCGGTGAACTTTGAGTCCCTGGTCCACCCACGCACATGCTCCTAGCCAGGGTCAAACACGCCAACGCTCTGTCCTCCCATGTCAGCCCTCACGTGGGGATGACCACAGGATGGACACGGGAGGGGGCAGGGCAGGCAGTACGAGGAGCTCCTGCGCTGGGGCTCGCTGGATCGGGGCGAATGCCAGCTCTAGCGCGGGTCGTCGGGTGGCCTCAGGCAAGTCGCTTCACACTTCTCAGCCTCATTCCCTCTTTTGTAAAATAAAGAGAACCTCACAGGATGAGTTTTTAGGATTTCAGATTACGGTGTAGGTGAGATGTGTGCGTGTGTGTTTCCTCCCGAGGCTTCAGTATTTGCTTATTCAGTGTCTACAGCGACCTTACGGGACATGGCTCCCACGAATAATGAGAACGGAGATAGCAGGCACCTCCCGTTTACACGGACCTCAGTGCCTGCAGCCGTCTCTTCTCCACACACAGTCCCACGAGAACTCTGCGAGGCGGGCATCATGATCCTCACTTCCCCTGCATCGAATCCGGAGTAGAAAAGAGAGTTCCACTTGCCCCGGGCTCTGGGGGTCTGTGTGCAAGGATGGGAGCCCTCGGCCCCCACTACGGCTGGCCCCTGGCCCAGGGCTCCTTCCTCGTCCTGCTCACGTCAGGCCTCTCCAGCCACTTCCTGTCCACACCGGGTAAAATCCAAACTCCCGATGATGGCGTACAGGCCTGACGACCCGGACCTCCTCCTTCTCCATCAGGGACACCCCGCCCCCGGCACAGGCTCCCTCCTCGGGGTCCTCCTTCTCTCCCTGGAGCTCTCCTGGGCTCGTCCCCCTCCCAAGGCCCTGCCAGGACCTGTCCATGCCTGAGATCTGCCTCTTGTCCAGGTCTTGCCTACTGGCCATCCAACCACACGCCAGCACGTCTGCCCCAACATCCGCACACCTTCTTCCTCTCCAACAGGACTAAGATTTTACTCGGAAAACCCACGGCCCCCCATCCACCATGGGCCCCGCCAAGCCAGTCATTCTACCCCATTCTCCTTGCCAGTGATTGGCTTAGGGAAGACCGTGTGACACAGTTCCGGCCAATGAGGTTCATTCTATCCCATTCTCCTTGCCAGTGATTGGCTTAGGTTAGACGGTGTGACACAGTTCCAGCCAATGAGGTTCCTTCTACCCCATTCTCCTTGCCAGTGATTGGCTTAGGGAAGACCGTGTGACACAGTTCCGGCCAATGAGGTTCATTCTACCCCACTCTTCTTGCCAGTGATTGGTTTAGGGAAGACTGTGTGACCCAATTCTGGCCAATGAGGTGTGAGAAGCTCACGGGGATGCCGGGAAGGGTCTCCTTGCTCCGAGATGCACAGGAAGCTGCCTTCCTTCTCCTACTGGATGTTGTCACCCCACATATGACACGAGGGACTGCAGCAGTGACCTCAGAGCCGTGAGGGAGCTGGCCACGGACCAGGCTGACGCTGCGAGCATGGAAGCACAGAAGGGCAGAAGCAACCACATCCTCGGACCAGGATGGACCACAGGACCAGCCCACCTGTAACCACCCAGCCGCCCGCCTTCTTATCCAGGTGATTTACTTTCTCTCATTGTTACAGCCGTTTGGTCCATGGTTTTCTGTTATTTGCCACCCAAAGCAGCATAAATCTTATAGGACAGCTGGGATGCCACTCCGCCCAAGGCGTTCCTTGAGTCACCTCTAATTTACACTTGGCACTCCCTCACCTGGTCACTCTGCACCTTCAGTACGCTGTTTTCCTCGGATTTACTGGGTGTGCTCCTGTGTAGACTATATCCACAATATGTCCACATTGTCTATAGCGTATCACTTACAACATTCCTGTCGCGCGGGTCACATGGCTTACCCCGTACTGGTTACACCAGATCACTCTACCTATGCAACGCTACACCATTTGCCTTTCATTACTTAGCACCATCGGAATGCTCCTGCTTGTTTTCTTGTTCTTATCTCTTTCTCCATCTGGAGGTGATCTGCTTGACAACATGGACCTGCCCCCTCTTAACTGCTGGGTCTCCACATCTAGCCCAGCACATGGCCCCCTGAGGTGTTCAGCAGATAGACACTCAATGGGAAGAGGTCTCAACGGTTTCCTCTGGGTGCCCCCACGAGAAGCACGTCTGAGTAAGAAGGGGAGGAGGGGCCTTAGACAAGGTCATCATGTCAACGGCATTCAGACAAAAGAGGAGACAGACCAGGAGGAGAAACAAAGAGCAAAGCTCAGGAAGTCACAGGTCAAAGAGCTGACACACTGGATTCGTAGTATGAATGTGGCCTTTTGGCTAGGAACTGAG